CCCTTTCCCTTTCCCCTACAGACTGATACCCTTTAAAAATCATTCGGGTTTTGTTCCCCTTTCCTACATGTCCGAACCCCCTCAAAACCCCTTTCCCCAGCCCCCTGGACACCCTTTTGGTTTAAACCCCCCTCCCCCCTAACTTCCAAACTACGAATTCTTGCATTATTTTCAACCAACATTTCCCTCAGGGAAAAAAAAATCTCCACTCCTCCAAACCTTTCCTCGCTTTTTCCCCAAAATTATCACCACGCTTCACACCCCTATAAGAGCGTTGGTAAAAAATATACTTTTTCATTTCTTCCCCCCCTTTTTTTCCCCAAGGACAAAGTTCTTTTTTTCCCCAGGGGTTCCCAAGTGACCCTCACTCTTTTTCCCTCATCAATTCTATGATTTTTACCTCATCTTTTATTGACCCATCCCCCTGAAAAACGTCCACTCCCAAATATTGAATACGTTCACCTCCTCCATTTCTCTCTCCCTCCAATTTTTGATATCCAATTTTTCCCCTCAAACCCAATCTTTTTGTTATCCCCAAAAACCCTTTCTCTTTCCTGTATTCCCTTTAATTTTTTTTTTGCCACCCCACCAAATTTTATCCCCCAATTCCCCCCCCCTGCCCAATTACTTCCCGACTCCCAAGAGGGCCCAGTGTCATCAGCAAGACATCTGTGACAAACCCCACTTTTTTGGGGGTGATTCTTTATTTTTAAATCCAAAAAAAAGGGGGGGGGGCCCCCTTGCCAAGGGCCTTCATTTACTTCTCTTACAATCCCCATCTATAAAAAATTTTAAAAAAAACCCGGGGGGACATCCACACATCCCTTTTCTAAGGCCCCAAATTTTTCTGGGAAAAAAAATTTTCCCCCTTTCCTACCTACTCTAACTTGAGCCCCATATCCTGTAAAAAAATCTTCACTGCTTTCGTGACCTAACCCCCTACACCATACACTTGCAACATCTCCCATTGCCCCCTATCCCCCCTTTTATTCGCCTTTTCCAAATCCAAAATGCCCAAAAAAATCTTTTTGCCTTTTCTAAATTTTGTTTTCCCCTTTTAGGGGTTTTACTGTAACCCTGGTCCAAAACACCCCCTAACCCTTTCCCAAAGCCTCCTTTTTTCATCTGCTATTTTATTCCCCCGTCTTAAATTTAATTTTTTTAATTTAAATCTACCATACACTTTACAGGTTACTCAAAAAGAATTATCCCCCTTTAATTTTTGGGACTCTCTTTTATCCCCTTTTCCCCTTTTTTCAAAGGAAATATGCATGCTCTCTGCCAATCCCTAGGTACCTTACCCTCTTCCCTACATTTATTAAAATTGCACCAACCACTCCCAAAAAAATATCCCCACCCGCCCTTTTAAAAATTTCTTTTCTTTTTCCCAAACAATCCCCGTGCCCCTTCCCCCCCTTTTATTTTAACCCCTGCCACGAACTTCCCCCACATCACAACTGGCTCTTCCTCATCCTACAAGATGTTTTTTCCTCCTTGCCCATACCCCGAAAAACCCCAGTTCCTATCTTCATCAAAAAAAATTTTAAAAATTCCTCAAAAAAATTTTCCCCCCATTTTCCAATACCTCTAACTCTCCCTTTAAAAAACTCTCCCCTTTCCTATTTTTAATGACAAATCCCAAATTTTTTCTCTAGGCTTTTTTTAACCCCTTTTACTTTTCGCCGGCCCTATATATCGTTTGTGAGGTTTCCGTGTTTTTTTACGGGTTTTTTTTTATATAAAAAATTTAGCGGCTTCAAACAGGCAGGAGAAAGCTAGTAGGGGCCCCCATTTTGAGGAATGGGTCTCGGGTCCCGGTGCCCACTTTAAAAAAAATCCTGGGGCAGCAGGGCATAATGAGAAAAAAAAAAAATCCCACCGTTTTTTTTTAAATTTAAAAAGCCGACTTTGTGGGCTATTTTCGTTTTAGTATTTGTGGTTTGTATTTTCGTTTTTATGGTCTCATTTTATTTGGGAAAGGAAATATATTATAGAAATGGAGGTGATTTTTATTAATTTTACTATAAAAGGACCGGGAAATGGAGCACAAAGTACAGGAAATGTTTGATTTTTGCCGAGGGTTCAAAAGTAAACAAATGATGTCATTGTCCAATAAATGTCCAAATAGCCATTCTAATACGCAGTCATGAAGGGTTTTTGATGTAATTTTTACAAATTATTACAGTATTGCAGTAGTCTGCATAACATAAATCTTCTATTTTTTGTTTTAAAATAAAATTTCAAAATAAAAAGCAAGAGAAATTTATCACAGGGACCTGGAGACATGACGGGATGAACAAAGAAAATCTTATTTTAGAGCCAGGAATGTCTGCATTGTTCATTCTGGACCTTTTTTTGAAATTGTCGTATTTTTAATTTTCGTGAAATTGGCCAAATTGCAAATTTCTGACCATGTTTATTGGGTAGTTGAAATGGGTAAATGGGCAGTTTCTTGTGCCAATCGATAGAAAAATAGAGTTCTGAAGAAATAGTTATGAGTTTGGTTGACTGGAAAAAACGGAATTAGCCGAAAATGGGGCTCAAAGTGGGCGAAATTGCCGTTTTTTAAATATCGCCGAAGTCACTAATTTCGCGAGAGCGTAATTCCGTCATGTTTTCCATCAAATTTCTTTTTTTTTTGTGTCTTTAAAATCGGGAAAAGATTCTCTATCATTTCATAAGAAAAAATATTTTTTTTTTTTTTTCGAATATTTTGCGACACCAGGAGCAACTTTCAGGATTGGGCCCTTCGACAGTAAAAGGGGTTAACTTGTTAATCTCACTCCAAAACTTTTTTTATTTTCAACAAAATTTTTTTGATAACATCTCACCCATCTCTCTCATTTGCTCTCTTTTACATTGCTTCACCACTCTCTTAACCTCTCTCTTTTTCTCCATATACTCTTCCCTCCTTGCATCACTTCTACTTTGTAAAAAACTTCTCATATGCTAACTTTTTCTCCCTTACTACTCTTTTTAAACATCACATTCCACCAATCGCTCCTCTTCCCTCCTGCACCTACTTTCCTGTAACCACAAACTTCTGCAAAACACTCAAAACACTACATTTTTAAACCTCCCCCATACTCTTCGACCCATTGCCTATGCTCTCATTAGCCCATCTTCCTCCAATAGTTGTTTATATCTTACCCTAACTGCCTCCTCTTTTAGTTTAGAAACCTTTACCTCTCTCTTCCCTGATGCTTCTATTCTCCTTGTATCCCATCTACCTTTTACTCTCAGTGTAGCTACAACCCAGAAAGTGATCTGATATATCGTGGCCCCTCTATAAACATGTACATCCTGAGTCTACTCAACAGTCTTTTTATCTACCAATACATAATCCAACAAACTACTGTCATTTCGCCCTACATCATTTCTTGTATACTTATTTATCCTCTTTTTCTTAAAATATGTATTACCTATAACTAAACCCCTTTTTATACAAAGTTCAATCAAAGGGCTCCCATTATCATTTACACCTGGGACCCCAAACTTACCTACCACACCCTCTCTAAAAGTTTCTCCTACTTTAGCATTCAGGTCCCCTACCACAATTACTCTCTCACTTGGTTCAAAGGCTCCTATACATTCACTTAACATCTCCCAAAATCTCTCTCTCTCCTCTGCATTCCTCTCTTCTCCAGGTGCATACACGCTTATTATGACCCACTTCTCGCATCCAACCTTTACTTTAATCCACATAGTTCTTGAATTTACACATTCATATTCTCTTTTCTCCTTCCATAACTGATCATTTAACATTACTGCTACATTCATTGGTTTTACTATAAAAAAACCTAGAAATGGAGCTCAAAGTAGGGGAAATGTTTGATTTTTTCCAATGTTCAAAAGTAAACAAATGATGCCATTGTCCAATAAATGTCCAACTAGCCATTCTAATATGCAGTCATGAATGGGTTGATGTTATTTATACAATTATTACAGTATTGCAGTAGTCTGCATAATAGTAAGTCTTTTATTTTTTGTTTGAATAAAAATTCAAAATAGAAAGCAAGAGTAATATCAGAGGGGCCTGGAGACATGACTGATGAGTAAAGAAAATGTTATTTTAGAGCCAGGAATGTCTTCATTGTTCATTCTGGACCTTATTTTGAAATTGTCATATTTTTTAGTTTTCGTGAAATTGGCCAAATTGCAAATTTCTGACCACATTATTAGGTAGTTGAAGTCGGTAAATGGGCAGTTTCTTGTACTCAATCGATAGAAAACATGGAGTTCTAAAGAAATAGCTATAAGTTTTGGTGATTGGAACAATGGAATTAGCCGAAAATAGGGGTCAAAGTGGGCGAAATCGCCGATTTGTAAACAGCGCCGAGATCGCTAACTTCGCGAGAGCATAATTCCGTCAGTTTTCCATCAAATTTCGATTTTTTGGTGTCATTACAATCAGGAAAGATTCTCTATCATTTCATAAGAAAAAATAATTTTTTTTTTAAATTTTGCGACACCAGGAGACACCTCGGGATTGGGGGTTGTGACAGTCAAAAGGTTAACAGTGAAAAATAAAGCCAAGGCAGTGCACGATCATCAGATGTCTCTCCACTGCTGCACTGTCAGCAGTGGAGTGACTCCATCTTACACCATGCCTCAAGGAGTTTCATATACAGTGGACCCTCAGGTAACGGCGTCATCGGCTAATGCCAAAATGAGATAGCAGCACGTTTTTGAGTCAAAATATTGGCTCAGCTAATGCCTAAGAACTCGGTTAAGGGCATTCGTCCCGAACTTGTCCGCTCGGCCTGAGCCCATGTAAAGCCAGCGTGCCATTGTTTACAAGCCAGGGAGGATGATTCCTCGCATACATGTGATATATTTTGTATTATTCCCTTGTTTTTAGTGCTTTTAACTGCTAAATAAGCCACCATGGGCCCAAAGCAAGCTTCTAGTGCCAGCCCTGTAGTAAAGAAGGAAAGAAGCACAATAGAATTCAAGAAAAAACTCCTAGCAAAGTACCAAAGTGGATGAGGAAGAAAGAGGGGAGAAAGTGCCTTTTGCAGTGATTCAGTGATTCTACGATATGTATGATACTAAAGCAGCAGTAATCAATAAAGGCTATAGTGCCAGCCAGCAATAGAGTGTAGAATTAACAGTGTGGGAAGTAAGTTAAGCGAGTAAGCGATAGAAAAACGACACGAAAGTAACTCTCCAGTGTTGCTGGATGTGTATTGGGCCAGTGAACATATGCTGGCCTGCTACGTATCTTCCACCACCCTAAACCTCTGCCAGCATCTCCTCCATCAAACTAATTAAACTAACATCTCCTCCAAGGTAAGTGTAAATATAAAAGTAAATATAAAAGGACCCCAATAGAAATATGTAAGTCACGCTGACTTTTTTTGGGTTATCCTAGGTACTTTACACATATGCTGCTATGTATGATAATCTGTGTAACTGTATTTGTGTATACCTGAATAAACTTTCTTATTTATAAATTAAAATGTAAATATTTCTTATTTATAAATTAAAATGTAAATATTTCTTTTTTATAAATTAAAATGTAAATATTTCTTATTTATAAATTACATACATTGTTCAAGTGTGATAGTGTTGGGTTCTGCTGGTGCGTCCACCACTACTATGTGGTGGCCCTTATAAACCAAGCAACAACACTTCCATCATTTTACTCCTCTCATACATTATGACATATTTTATTCGTTCTAGAGTATATATCATGTTTCTGTGTTATTAACCCCTTCAGGGTCCAAGGCCAAAATCTGAAGTGGTGCTCCAATGTCCAAGAAATTTTGAAAAAAAAAAAAAAAAAATTTCTTACAGAATAAAAGAGTATATTTTTGTGAAGGTAATAAGACAAAAAAAAATTTTCTGATCAGTACTTACCGAGATACAGTGGTGGGAAGTTGACCCAAAATGACCGGGTGGCGGCAACATAAGTGACTTCCCCAAAATCCCATTTGTTTATTTTACGTTTTTTATACTCTTTTCTTTTCTAATTTTCTTTTTCTAATAACATTTGTGGCCTGTGAGACCAGTATAATGTATATTGTATAAGTGTACACTCATTGTATTCAACACAATAACTGCACTAATTTGTTTATCATTATATTGCTTACAAAACATGTTTACAAGTTTATTGTAAACAAAATGATGAAAATATTAGCGCGGTTATTGTGTAGAATACAACGGTACCATATGGTACAATGGTGCCATAGGGTGCAGTTGTACCATATGGTACAATGGCACCATATGATACAATGGTACCATATGGTACAATATAGTACAATGGCACATGATACAGTGGTACCATATGGTACAATAGCACCATTTGGTACAATGGTACCATATGATACAATGGTACCATATGGTGCAATGGTACCTTATGGTACCATATGGTGTAATGGTACCATATGGTACCATATGATGCAATGGTACCATGTGGTACATTGTACCATACAGTACAATACCATATGGTTCATTGTACCATATGGTACTGTTGTATTCAACACAATAAACACACTAATATTTTCATTATTATTTTGTTTACAATAGTTGTTTACAACAAAAATGTTGTATATTAGTAATGTTCTATTATATATTTACAAGTGTACAGGAACTTGACATGTTCCTTGAGGTGGATGAAGGTGAAGCACTTTGTCTTGGAACTGTGGAGTCAGTAGCTTGTGCCGCCACTCACTCAGTCTTGGCTGGTGTCTCATGCCACCAACACCTATTGATCATATGGTACACGGTATCATATGTTACAGGGTACCATATGGTACATTGTACTATATGGTATAGGGTACCATGCAGTACAGGATAACATATGGTGCAGGGTACCATATGGCACAGGGTACCATATGGTACAGGGTACCATACAGTACAGGACACCATATGGTACAGATACAGGGATAACTATGGAAATAAGTCACCCTGACTTTTTTGGGTTATCCTAGGATTTTATACGTATGCTGCTTTGTATGATAATCTATGTAATTGTATTTCTGTACACCTGAATAAACTTACTCAAGTGCATGTGGCATCATAAGTAAGTTTATTTAGTTATACACAAATAAAGTTACATAGAATATCATACTTAGCAGCATATGTTTGGAGAACCTAGGATAACCCAAAAAAGTCAGACAGACTTATTTCCATTAGGGTCCCTGTACCCTGTACCATATGATACCATTGTACCATATGATACCATTGTATGACATGGCACCATTGTACCATATGGTACCATTGTACCATATGGCACAATGGTACCATATGGTTCAAAACCATAGAATTCATCTTCAGCTCCACTTCCATCAGTCTTAGAACTGTAAGTTGTGAAGAGGAGAGTCAGAATTCGCGTGGAGAGTGTGTGGGGAGTGAGCTTCCTTGCCGCCAGGCACGATGAACACAGCTACTTTGCCGGCGTTCCCACAATGCCATGCGGGCGTCCAGATTTTTTCTATGGTGTGCACACTGACCACCCAGACCCATTCTCTCAGATGTAGGCCTACCAGCCTTCTCGCGCTAAATTTGATGCCACTAGAATTTTGGCGTAGATCTACGGTTTGGACCCTGAACGTAAAGCCGTAGATCTACGGGACGTACCCTGAAAGGGTAAATATTGTTTATGTCATAGTAGATGAATTGTGATAAATAAATATGCTGTAGAGATGATATTAGCATAATATTGAAGCATAATAAACTCATCTCCCTCTTGCCTCCTACTCGTCTTCCATGCACCAACAAGAGTCAGTAAAAGTATGTGTGATGTTAAATGTTCATTTATCCATTTTATTAGTGCTTTATATTTATTTGTCATTGTTTTCTGTATGTATATCTATATTTAATCTTTAAAAAAATTATTTTTTGTTAATACTTTTGGCTGTCTGAAATGGATTAATTGGGTTTCCATTATTTCTTATGGGGAAAATTAATTCGGCTAAAGGCAAAATCAGTTAAACGCAAGCCTTTACCTGAGGGTCCACTGTATACTCCAGCATTTCTAAAACATTGCTGGGACCTGGCAAAAAAGGCAAAAATCATTTCTTATTTATAAATACATTTTTTTTTTATTTAAAAACCCCCCAAAAATTTGGGTGGTTTTTTGGGGGTTGGAACAGGTTAATGGTATTTAAGTTAATTTCAAAGAGGAAAATTGATTTGATATACAGTAGACAGTTATTTATCACGAGTTTATTTGGCATGATTTGAGTATAGCACGATTGAAGAATTGCAGCACAGTTTTATGTGACACGTCGTATGACGAATTTAACCCTTTCAGGGTCTGTCCCGTAGATGACAGTTTCACATTCAGTGTCCAAACTGTAGATCTACACCAAAATTCTAGCGGCATCAAATTTAGCGCGAAAATGCTCATAGGCCTACATGTGAGAGAATGGGTCTGCGTGGTGGGTGTGCGCCGTAAACAAAAATTCTAGGCGCCCGCATAGCATTGTGGGAACACCGACTCAGTTACCTTTGTTCACCATGCCTCGTCGCAAGGCAGCTCTCACTCCAAGGAAAATTGGGACTCTCCTCTTCCTATCTGATAGTTCTGACACTGATGGAAGTGGAAATGAAGACGAATTCTTTGGCTTTGATCAGTTAGTGACTGAAAGGAATGACCAGGATATCGATAATAGTGCAGAAAGCCCTGACGATCTTTAACCTTCTACCTCTGTTGTGGGCACTCCTCAGTCACGGTCAGTTGTACCTCATCGCAAGAGAAAACTATTATTTTAGTGTGGCCAGGCCTCTGACTTCAGTAATAATGATGATTGTGACGTGGATTGTGATTTTATTGCTCTTGACGATCATTCAAGTGGTGATAGTAAGGAATCATATTCACCAGTGAAGCGTCGGTATGTACGCCGCCGCATGCACTCGGGTAGTGTACCCTATGCAGGGCCCAGGGGACGGAGTACATCCCGGAGTACATCCCGTGGCCCTACACCAGGAATAGACAGTGAAAATGAGGATGATGTGGCAACACTTGGTATGGATAGACCACAGGCATCAGTAGATGGTGGTAGTGGTGATGGTAGTGCCACGGCCATTCGTGACTCACGAGCCCAGGCTGGGACCCACGCTGCTGACTCCTCAGTTCAAGGACAAAGCGGAACGTCAGCCACCAGTCCACCACAACCACAACCACCCGCACAACCAGCCTATGATGTCCAGTATCCACCAGCAAACCGTATCTGGGATTGGCAGCAAAATCACAATTTTGTTCCCAAGCCCCACCACTTTGATTACTCTCAAAGTGGAATTCTACCTACTTGTCCCCTTGGAACCATGACCAATGAACTGGAATTTTTTGAAATATTCCTTGACCAGCCCTTGATGGAAACTATTGTCAGGGAAAGCAACAAGTATTTTGAGTATGCCATGGCAAATACGATCATATCACCACAGTCAAGACTACACCGGTGGAAAGAGACGACTGTTGCAGAAATGTATTTGCTTTTTGCAACAATAATGCTTATGCCTCATGTCTATAAGCATAATATAAAAGCATACTGGTCCACAGATCGGCTAATTTCTACCCCGGTCTTCAGTGAAATCATCCCAGTGAACAGGTTTATCTTACTGTTATGTATGTTGCACTTCTCTGACAAAACCAGGTCTGACAGAAGTGACAGGTTATACAAGATTAGAAATGTTTTTATGTATCTCAAACAAAAGTTGAACATGTACTTTTGTTCATTCAGGAATCTTGTAATTGACGAGTCTTTGATTTTGTTCAAGGTAGACTGCCATTCAAGCAGTATATACCGAGCAAGAGGAAACGCTTTGGTGTAAGACTGTTTGTACTCTGTGTCTGTGACAGTGGCCTGGTATTGGATATTGTTGTATACACTGGATGTAAAACATTGAAAGATACCAAGATGCAATTGAGTATCTCAGGTGACGTAGTGAGAAGCATGATGACACCTTATCTTGGTAAGGGGCATACATTATATACAGATAACTGGTACACAAGCCCTTTACTCAGTGATTTCTTGTGAGTGAACAAAACAGATGTGTGTGGCACAGTGCGTTCTAATCGTAAACATATGCCCAGGTTCAGCACAGGTGCTCGTGGTGATGACGTGCAGATGTTTACTGCCAATGACATCATGGCATTACGGTGGCATGACAAACGAGATGTCACATTGTTGACAACCATTCACCGTAACGAAATGCAAGACAGTGGCAAAGTTGATCGAGTGACTAATGAACATATTCGAAAACCAGTGACAGTGATTGATTATACACAAAACATGCGCTTGGTTGACAAATGTGACATGCAGATTGGCTTTGTTGATTGCGTTCGTAAGAGTTACAAGTGGTACATGAAACTTTTCTTCCATCTCATGGACATTTCAATGCTCAATGCATATAATATGTACCAAATAAAGACTGGCAACAGACCACCGTATGGTGAATTTTGTTTGTCTGTTGTCAGACAACTCATAATGAAGTACCAGGTAACAACACCTGCTATACAACAATGTCCTTGAATTCCTCAGAATATACCCAAGCGTTTGAGGAGGGAAGGTGATCATTTCATAATACAGCTTCCTTCAACTCGGAAGAAATTTGCTCAGAAGAGATGCATTGTCTGTGCACAAACAAAACGACGGCAACAAAGACGCGAAGACACTCGGTTACTGTGTGAGGAATGTAAGGTACCTAGGTGCATGGTGCCTTGTTTCAAGGACTTCCACAAGCTCCAGCCGTTCTAAAACCATGTCCAGTGATTATTAAATATGTAAATATATGATAGAACATTAGTATTATACAAGATTTGTGCATGTTTATTGTAATAAACAAAAGTGGTAAACAATAATATGATAATAACTTCAGTGCGGTTTTTGTGTTCAATACAGTGAGTTTATACACCTACCATCTGACTTACGACCTGCTCGACTTATGACCACTCGACTTACGACTGTGTTTTTTATGCCAAATTTCTGGGAAATAAACAACTGTTTGTGTTGTACACAGTGTTTATCGTAAACCTTACAGTATAAAATACAGTACTAACAGCATAAAAAGGAAAGTAAAACATGAAATACCAAATAAAACAATAAAATAAAATCATTACAAAAATGTTTTGTTGATATTCAGTAGTAAAATTCGACTTACGACCATTTCGACTTACGACCGGTTTCTTGGAACCGAACTCAGTCGTAAGTCGGATGCTAGGTGTATATATACATTATATACAGTATTGGTCTCTCAGGCCCCAAATGTTAGTAGGAAAAGAAAAAATTAGAAAAGAAAAGAAAAAACTACAAAAAACTTTAAATAAAGTAATGAGAGTGTGTGGAAATCGTCGATGTTGCTGCCAGCCGCTCATTTTGGGTAAACTTCTCGGCATTGTATCTTGGTAAGTACTGATCAGAATTTTTTTTTTTGTCTTATTACCTTCACAAAAATATACTTTTTAATTCTGTAAGAAAAATAATAATTTTTTTTTTTTTTTTCAAAATTTCTTGGACACTGGAGTACCACTTGAGATTTTGGCCTTGGACCCTGAAAGGGTTAACATGGTTCAGTTTGCAGGAAAGTAATAAAAACTTCCCTTTTCCTCAAGCGGCTGCCTTGTTGTGGTTCAGCTGGGGAGACCTCCCGCCGTCCCCAGCAACCCTCCCCGACACTACCCCACCATCATAGCATTCGTACTTCATACATGTCCAGACCAACTTCTCTGCTGCAAGCTTGTGACTGTGATTTGTGTTTTGATCTTTTAATTGCTATATCTTTTATCTACCAAGCAGTCATGACACCCAGTAAGCATACATGTGTTGCTCAAAGTGGCAAGAAAAGGTATAAACATTTAAGTCTTCGAATTAACGAAGGAAACAAAGATATTAGACAAGACATCCTGTGGCCATAATGAAGTGTTACTTTGTACACAAAAGAAAGGTAAACATAAGTTTGTGTGACTGACTGACTTACTGAATGATTTGACTGACTTACTGAATGATTTGATTGATGAACTGAATGACTTGACTGGCTTACTGAATGACTTGACTGACTTACTGAATGACTTGACTGACCTAATGAATGTCTTGACTGAATTACTGAATGACTTGACTGAACTACTGAATGATTTGACTGAACTACTGAATGATTTGACTGACTTACTGAATCACTTGACTGACTTACTGAACGACTTGATTGACTTACTAAATGACTTGACTGACTTAGTGAATGACTTGACTGAATTACTGAATGACTTGACTGAACTACTGAATGATTTGACTGACTTACTGAATCACTTGACTGACTTACTGAATCACTTGACTGACTTACTGAACGACTTGATTGACTTACTAAATGACTTGACTGACTTACTGAATGACTTGACTGACTTACTGAATGACTTGACTGACTTACTGAATGACTTGATTTACTGAATGACAAAGTCAGACATTCCAGTACAACCATCAACTTCAGTACCAGAACCTCTACCATCCACCTCAGCCCAGTAGGACCACACCGTAACTCTCCACTCTCTTCACAATCATTCACAAACACCAGCACCCACAATTTAAGGTAAGAATTACTGTTATTTCTGTTACATTTGTAGTTTTAAGCAATAAAAACAACTAATACATCACAACACTGAATTACAATTACATATTCACTTTTATTTTTGTAAGATGTGGAGGCCTAAAAAAAAAGTTGTTTGGCTTTTTTGGGGCTGTCAGGAACATAACCCTCTTTTTCCCATAAGTTCTTAAGTTCATCTAACACGATTTTACCTAACATGGTGTTTTCAGGAACTTAACTACTGTGTTAACCCTTTGACTGTTTCGGTCGTATATATACGTCTTACGCGCCAGTGTTTCGGACGTATTTATATACTTAAATTCTAGTGGCTTCAAATGAAACAGGAGAAAGCTGGTGGGCCCACATGTGAGAGAATGGGTCTGTGTGGTCATTGTGCACCACATAAAAAAAATCCTGCAGCACGCAGTGCATAATGAGAAAGAAAAAACTCGCCGTTTTTTTGGATTACAACACTGACTTTGAGGTGTATTTTCGTATAGTATTTATCATTGTATTCTCGTTTTCATGGTCTCACATGATAAAATGGGAAACATATTACAGAAATAGAGATGATTTTGATTACTTCTCGAAGAAAATGACCTTGAAATTGAGCTCAAAGTAGCGGAAATATTTGATTTTTACCAGTGTTCAAGAGTAAGCAAATCACACCACACATCCAATACACATCAACTGAGGAGTCTAATATTTTTTCACTAGTGCACTGATATTATTTATACCATTTTTACAATAATGCAGTAGTCTGCATAACGGTAAATTTTGTATTTTTTGTATGAATAAAAAATCAAAATAGAAAGCAATAGTAATATAAGAGGGGCCTAGAGACGTGGCTAATGAACAGAGAATATGTTATTTTAGTGCCAAGAAAGTCTACATTGTTTATTCTGGACCCTATTTTGAAATTGGCATTTTTTTTATTTTGCACGAAATTGGCCAAATTGCCAATTTCTGACCACTTTATTGGGTAGTTCAAATCGGTAAATGGGCGGTTTCTTGTACTCATCTGATAGAAAAAATGGAGTTCTAAAGAAATAGCTATGAGTTTGGTCAACTGGAACAATGGCACTGGTCAAAAACAAAGCTCAATGTCGGCGAAATCGCCGATGCATATATGTCGCTGAGACTGCTAACTTCGCGGGAGCGTAATTCCGTGAGTTTTCAACCAAATTTCGTACTTTTTGTGTCATTGCCATCAGGAAAAGATTCTCTATCATTTCATAAGAAAAAATAATTTTTGTTTTTTCCAAAAATTTTGCGACATAGAATGACAGTTTCAGAGAGGGGCTTGCGATAGTCAAAGGGTTAAATAACGGTCTACTGTACTGTACGAGCAAATTGAGTTACGAGCTCGATTACAGAACAAATTAAACTCATGTGTCAAGGTACCACTGTATGTGTTATCTTCTTTTTAATAATCCTAATTAAAATTTTCTTTTTTCAGGTGAAATGGGAAGAAACATGGCTGCTGTGGCACAACTCCGAAAATTTCCATCTCTGCACTGTATGCTGTGCTCACCTAATAGTCATGCTAATGTTTGGCAGTGTCTAAGCTTTGTCAGTGTCAATTATATCATGCAGCGAAATAAATCCACTACCAAGAAGTTAAGTGAAGAAGGCATAAAAAATAAGAGTGATTCTAAAAATGAAGATACCCCGAAATTTTCTGATTTATATAATACTAGTCGGTTATCTTTTAATTCTTCAGAAATTGATAAATCTACAAACTCTAATGAACAAAATTCATCACATAGCTCATGTACAGATAATCCTAAGTCCTCAAATTCTGCTAATTGTGTCAAAAAACAGATTCCTGAATTTGAAAGTAAAATTAATCAAAGTCAGATTCCAGGTATTGAAATTATTTCTGTAAGGGAAGTATTGAGAAGTCTGGGCAAGGATGTGTACAATACTGGTAAAAAACTTGACAGGGAATGGCCAAGCAATATTCCTTCTTTGGAATCAGAGAATTTACTTTCTAAGAAAAATTTAAATATGGCCAGTAAAGAAATAAATGTTAAGAGAAGCAATAAGACTAAAATAATTTATTGTGGGAAAAACCTACCAATGAATTATAATTTTATAAGCAAGAAGAAGATTGTTCTTACAAGTGAGAAAGAAAGTGCTCTGAATATTGACGAAGATGTTCTTGAAAGTGATAAAGACAGTGTTCTTGAAAGTGACAAAGATATTGTTATTGAAAATGGCAAAGGTGTTCTTGAAAGTGGCAAAAGTGTTCTGAAAAGTGATAGAAGTGCTCTTGGATGTGACAAATATGGTATTCTTGAAAATGACAAAGGTGATGTTCTTGAATATGACAAAGGTTTTCTTAACAGTGACAAGAAGATTGTCTTTACAAGTGAGGAAGAAAGTGTTATGAAGATTGACAAAGGTGTTCTTGAAAGTGATAAAGATTGCATTCTTGAAAGTGACAAAGAAATTGTTCTTGAAAGTGACAAAAGTGCTCTGAAAAGTGATAGAAATGTTCTTGGAGGTGACAAAGATTGTATTCTTGAAAAAGACAAAGATGATGTTCTTGAATGTGACAAAGGTGTTCTTAAAAGTGACAAAATTGCTCTTGAAAGTGACAAAGAAGGTGTTCTTGAAAGTAACAAAGAAAATGTTCTGAAAAGTGTCAAAGAAGGTGTTCTTAGAAGTAAAAAAGGTGTTAGCAGTGACAAATACAGTTCCAAAGCAGAGTCAGACCATTATAAAGATGAACAAAATTTTAATAATACTGAGAGCTGCAAAATTACATCTGTAAATGACCCCCTTATGAGACAACATTCTGTAATGTACCAGGAAAATATGCTTGGCATACAGACACTCTCCTCTAACCTTGCTGATCAGATATTTAAGGGAGTCACACCAAAAGATTCTCAGGAAGCACAAGAGGATTTTCAGAGAAGCAAAGATCATCTACAAGCTCATGGCTTATGGAACAAGGAAAAATCTGTTCTTCCAGATTATGACCTCCAGCTTCCTACATTTGAAGATCAAAACTTGGATAAACATTTCCATATTGTTGCAGAGCAACAGTGTGCTCCATATAAAAATTTGTTGAGTCAGTTGGTAGGAGCAGACCTTCCCTGTTTACCAGATACATGGCACTTGTCTCTTGGTTGGACACGTTATAATTCTGATGGTAGTTACACGCAGGTGGACTTCCCAGACTGTCATGCAATTGTTTTTGATGTGGAAGTTTGTGTGATGGAGGGAAACCAACCAACATTAGCTACAGCTGTATCTGACAAATATTGGTACTCCTGGTGTAGCAGTCGTCTAATAAATCCTCACACTGCATGTAGTAATAGTGTTAGTTTAGATGACCTCATTCCACTTGAATCATCTAGCAGTTTAGGTTTCCCAGATTTTAAGACTAAAGATGTTCCTAGAGTTGTTGTTGGACATAATGTAAGTTATGACAGAATTAGAGTTCGTGAACAGTACCTATTGGAGGGATCATCCCTACGTTTTGTAGATACTATGTCGCTGCACATAGCTTCAAGTGGTCTAACTTCTGAACAGCGTACTTTATTAATGAAAAACAAAAGCAGTGCTAAAAAAGTAACACTGCCATGGATGTTTGCTGGCTGCCAGAACAGTCTTGCTGATGTTTACAAGTTTTATTGTAAAGCAGGAGAGCTTGAAAAAAGTACTCGAAACATTTTTTTGAATGGCAGCATGAGGGATGTATTTAATGAATTTCAGAGCCTTATGAATTATTGTGCCAATGATGTGAAAGCAACTCACATGGTCTTAGTTAAATTGCTACCAATATTTTTTAAAAGATTTGCTAATCCTGTTACATTTTCAGGAATGTTAGAGATGGGATTAACTTTCCTTCCAGTTACAGAAAACTGGAACAAATATATTAAATCAGCAGAAGCAGAGTTCCTCCACGTAGAAAGATTGTTAAATGAAGAGTTGGTAAAACAAGTTCAAGCAGCTCTTGCATTTATGGAAGATAAAAAATATGAACTGGACCCATGGCTGTGGGACCTTGACTGGTCATTACCTAAAGGAAAAGTAAGGACTCTTCGTGGGTACCCAAATTGGTATAGAAAGCTATGTGCTCGTATTGGTGACAGGGAAGGCACTCCAGAACCTGAAAATATGAGCACCAGTTTACGAGTTGTACCAAAATTGTTAAGACTCTCTTGGAATGGTTTTCCTCTTCATTATGACAGACAGTATGGTTGGGGTTTTCTGAAACCTTTGTTCAGGAATATTTATGAAATACCATTGCCCGAAATTCCTCCAGTTGATGACTCAGCTAAAGACAAAGCAGTCTTTCCTGTGAAGGTGCTCTATGAGATGTGCTCTCCTCAACAAACTGAAATTAAACCTCATACTGAACTGAAGGAAAAAGAAAAGTGTAATTCACTAGACACTGAAGAAGGCTGGGATTTTGATCTGTCAGTGGATCAGTTTCAAAGTTCTAATACTTCTAATAGATTTGCTAAACAAAATGATACCTTGAGGGACATAGGCATTCCTGGTGTTGGCTTTGTACCATTACCACACAAAGATGGGGCTGCAAATCGTGTTGGAAATCCATTAGCCAAAGATTTTCTGAATAAAATTGAGGATGGGACTTTAAGCAGTCACTTTGGAGATATTGCTGAACTTGTGCTGAAGACTACTAAAACCTTGTCCTACTGGAAGAATAATCGAGATCGTGTACTGTCGCAAATGGTCATTTGGTACAATGACTCCTCTTTACCACAGTCTGTTGCTTCAGCAGGTAAGGGTTTTTGAAAATCTATTTATTTACTTTCAAACATTTAGATAAACTCATGGGAGTGAAATACTTGATTTCTTTTCTATTTCCATTAATCCTTATTCATCCTTCTTTGATACTAGATATACACCTAGCAGGTTCAGCCCGTCCTCTTAACAGAGTATTTCTCTGTTGATATGACAGTCATATGGGTGACTGATAAACAAGCCTTAAACAGTGATTATCTGACTTAAATCTAGTGCACTCAGCTTTTAGTTTGCTCATCAGAAATTTTTAAACAAACAGCTTTATTTCTATCAAGTGGTGTACTGTACAATAAACAATTACAGTAATTAACATGTGTAAACCACTTTATAGAAAGCCCTGTGTTATGCAAAACACTTCAAGCAGCCTTAAAATTAACTTATGATTACTAGAAAATGAGACATACAGTACATGAGAATAAGAATATGTACTTAGTGTATACTACAGTGGAACCCCGGTATGCGACCTTAATTCATTCCAGAAGGCTGTTCGAGTGCTGCTCCACTTGAGTATCGAGCAAGTTCTTCCCAACCAATTTTCTGTGTGGTTGACTGTTATCACAAATCGTCATAGGCCCCATGGTGACTTATTTATACAAATAATACAAAAAACACCAAAATATGTAAAGAAACACAAAATAGTTTACAGCGAAGTTCTGGCAGGCCGTATTTGTTTGGTCGAGTGCTGAGCTTTGTTCGAGTAGGGAGCTGGTTGTATACCAAGGCTCCACTGTACAGTAGGGCCCCACATATATGGCAGGTTAGGTTCCAGGTTACTGCCGGAAAGCAGAATGCCATTTTTTCCACTTACAAATGCAAATAAATGCCAGTAACAAGTTTACACTAACATACAGTGGACCCCCGCATACCGGACGCCTTGCATAACGGACAATCCGCATACCGGACGCTTTGATCGCTAAAATTTTGCCTCGCATACCGCCCAAAAACCCGCTCAGCGCCCTTCGTCCGAGACGCGTCCAATGTGCGGCCTGAGCCACGCTCACATGTTCCGCCGGTGGCATTGTTTACCAGCCAGCCTCCGCGGTAACATCCAAGCATACAATCGGAACATTTCGTATTATTACAGTGTTTTTGGTGATTTTTTTCTGGAAAATAAGTGACCATGGGCCCCAAGAAAGCTTCTAGTGCCAACCCTACAGCAATAAGGGTGAGAATTACTATGGAGATGAAGAAAAAGATCATTGATAAGTATGAAAGTGGAGTGCGTGTCTCCGAGCTGGCCAGGTTGTATAATAAACCCCAATCAACCATCGCTACTATTGGTGGTACAGCTGCTGCTGCTGCTGTACCACCGTCAGCTGCTGCTGCACTGTCAGCTGCTGCTGCTATACCACCGTCAGCTGCTCCTGCTGCTGTAGTACCGTCTGCTGCTGCGTAGCATCGTCTGCTGCTGCTGTAGCATCGTCTGTTGCTGCTGTAGCATCGTCTGTTGCTGCTGTACCACCGTCAGCTGCTGCTGCTGCTGTAGCATCGTCTGCTGCTGCTGCTGCTGCTGTAGCATCGTCTGCTGCTGCTGTAACATCGTCAGTTGCTGCTGTAGCATCGTCTGCTGCTGCTGTAGCATCGTCTGTTGCTGCTGTAGCATCGTCTGTTGCTGCTGTACCACCGTCAGCTGCTGCTGCTGCTGTAGCATCGTCTGCTGCTGCTGCTGCTGTAGCATCGTCTGCTGCTGCTGTAACATCGTCAGTTGCTGCTGTAGCATCGTCTGCTGCTGCTGTAGCATCATCTTTTGCTGCTGTAGCATCGTCTGTTGCTGCTGTACCACCGTCAGCTGCTGCTGCTGCTGTAGCATCGTCTGCTGCTGCTGTAGCATCGTCTGCTGCTGCTGCTGCTGTAGCATCATCTGCTGCTGCTGTAACATCGTCAGTTGCTGCTGTAGCATCGTCTGCTGCTGCTGTAGCATCGTCTGTTGCTGCTGTAGCATCGTCTGTTGCTGCTGTACCACCGTCAGCTGCTGCTGCTGCTGTAGCATCGTCTGCTGCTGCTGTAACATCGTCAGTTGCTGCTGTAGCATCGTCTGCTGCTGCTGTAGCATCGTCTGTTGCTGCTGTACTACCGTCAGCTGCTGCTGCTGCTGCTGCTGTAGCACCGTTGTTGGTGTGGCTTATTGAGAATACCAAGAAACAATTAACCCCAGAGGATTTGCCACCCAGGATAGCCCAAAAAAGTCAGTGTCATCGAAGACTGTCTAACTTATTTCCATTGGGGTCCTTAATCTTGTCTCCCAGGATGCAACCCACACCAGTCGACTAACACCCAGGTGAACAGGGAAAATGCCTGGAACTAGTGCTCATATTGGTGAATTTAGAGCCAGCAAAGGTTGGTTTGAGAGATTTAAGAATCGTAGTGGCATACACAGTGTGATAAGGCCTGTTCTGGAAGAAAATACCAAACATGACCTACAGTACTCAGGAGGAAAAGGCACTCCCAGGACACAGTGTCTCATCAGTCATTGCTGCATCTTCAATAAAGGTAAGTGTCATTTATTCTTCATTTAGTAGAGTAGTACATGCACAATATATATTGTGCATGTACTACTCTACTATTGTGCATGTATCCTTCTCTTTGTGTGTAGGAAAATGTATATTTCATGTGGTAAAAAATTTTTTTCATGCTTTTGGGTGTCTTGCACGGATTAATTTGATTTCCATTATTTCTTATGGGGAAAATTCATTCGCATACCGAACATTTCGCATAACAGCCAGCCCTCTTGCACGGATTAAGGTCGCTATGCGGGGGTCCACTGTATATTACATTAGCAGTAGAACTAGGCATTAAAAACTATAAAAAGTAAAATACACACACAGTACACCCATTGCTTACCTTGAAATATTTGTAGTCTTAATGTAGGGTGAGAGGTGAGTTTAATTTGTAAGAAGTCAGGTCTGGGAGATATGATAGCCAGCCAGGTCAGCCCACCCCACCCACACATATACTACATTTAATTAAAGCTCCCTAGAGCAGTAAAATACATATATAGTACATTCATTAATTACCTTAAAATATTTGTAGTCTTAACCCTTTCAGGGTTTCGGCCATACTAGTACGGCTTACACACCAGGGTTTTTGACGTACTAGAATGCCTAAATTCTAGCACCCTCAAATCTTGTGAGAGAAAGCTGGAAGGCCTACATATGAAAGAATGGGTCTCTGTGGTCAGTGTGCGCAGTATAAAAAAAATCCTGCAGCACGCAGTGCGTAATGAGAAAAAAAAACTTTGACCGTGTTTTTGGATTAAAACAGCGACTTTGCACTGTATTTTCGTATGGTATTTATTGTTGTATTCTAGTTTTCCTGGTCTCATTTTATAGAATGGAAGACGTATTACAGAAATTGAGATGATTTTGACTGGTTTTACAAAGTAGCAGGAATGTTCGATTTTTACCAAAGTTCAAAAGTAATCAAATCATGCTAAGCGTCCAATGCACATCAACTGGTGAGTTTAATATTCTTTCACAAGTGCGCTGATATTATTTATACCATTTCTACACTAATGCAGTAGCCTGCATAACAGTAAATCTTCTATTTTTTGTGAGAATAAAAATTCAAAGTGGAAAGCAAAAGAATGTAAGGGGAGCGTGGGGATGTGACTAATGAACAGAGGAAATGTTATTTTAGTGCCAGGAATGTCTTGTTTATTCTGGACCCTATTTGGAAATTGGCATCTTTTGAAATTTGTGTGAAATTGGCAAAATTGCTCAATTCTGACCACTGTATTGGATAGTTGAAAATCGGTAAATGGGTGGTTTCTTGTACTCATTTGATAGAAAAAATGGAGTTCTAGCAAAATAGTTATGATTTTTGTCAACTAGTACAGTGCTGAAAATAGGGCTCAAAGTGGGCAAAATCGCTGGTGTGTAAACATCGTTGAGACCGCTAACTTCGCGAGAGCATAATTTCCGTAAGTTTTCCATCAAATTTCATACTTTTGGTGTCATTATGATCGGGAAAAGATTCTCCATCTTTTCATAAGAAAAAATAATTTTTTTTTTTTTTAAATTTGGCGACCCTGAGAACAAGTCTCTGAGAGGGCCTGGCGACCCTGAAAGGGTTAATGTAGGGTAAGAGGCGAGTTTTATTTGTAGGAAGTCAGGTTTGGGAAGTATGGAATCTTGCCAGGGAAGCCCTCCCAACCCCACCCACACGTAAAGTAAACAAACCAGATGAATGCGTCTGGTTTTCGTCACTTTACATTGTGTACAAGTTGTCTCCACGTTGATACAGTAGAATAAATAAAGAAAAACACTCTAATTCTCATGTAACACCATTTTTAGAAGAAATGATGCCCTGAGTGAAGGCATTCATAAGTACAGGTACACATACATATAATTATCAGTTATAATAATAATGTAGGTATGTAGTCTGCCTGGGCTACATACCTATACCAACCTACATAGCTACACGATATTTAATGAGGTCCAGAGCCATATTATTACCATCGTCATACCATGTTCACTGAGTTTAATCGTTTCTAAAGATGCCATAATAAACAAAGGGAGAAGTAATGAATAATTCATGCCAAGAATTGTGAACAAAAGCAAGCCGCAAGCCCATTTCTGAAACTGTCATTCTATATCGAAAAATATTCGAAAAATAAAACAATAATTTTTTCTTACCAAAATGTTAGGATTATTTTGCTGAGTGTTTAAAGTCTGAAAAAAAAAATTGTGATCGTTACTTACCGAGATATAGAGGCGTAAAGTTGGCAGAAAATGAGCCGCATATGGTAACAGCGAATGTCACTCACCAGGTAAAATTTTTTTTACTCCCATTCGAAGGTTTCTTGCTTTTTTGTCTACATGTACAGTAGGGCCCCACTTATGTGGCAGGTTAGGTTCCAGGCTACTGCCGTCAAGCGGAAATTGCCGTAAAGTGGAACACCCTTTGTTTTTCCTTACAAATGCATACAAATACTAGATAACAAGTTTACACTAACATATATTAAGTTAACAATAGAACTAGGCATCAGAAAACAATAAAAAAGTACAATACACACACAGTGCACTCATTACTTACCTTAAAATATTTGTAGTCTTAATCTAGGGTGAGACAAGTAGTATTGTAAGAAATCAAGTGTGGTATGTATGGTAGTCAGCTTGGCTACCATACCACGCCACCCACCTTCACATAATATTCTATTACATTTAAGCATCC